GTCGCCCCCGCCTCCCGAAGCGGCCCTCGGCAGCGGCGGTGCGGTGCCGTGCCGTGCCCTGGGGGTCCCGGCCCCGCGGGGCAGCACCGGGCGGCCGGGCTGGGGGCTCAACGCCGGCCTCTTCCAGGCTTGATCCACAAGGCGACGGTGAAGACGGTGAACGTGGAGCGGTCCTCCGTGTCCGTGGAGTGGTTCGAGGGCGGCACCGTCAAGCAAGGAGGCGTTTTTTCCCACCCGCCGCCCCTTCCCGGGTTGATCCGGTGCTCTCTCGGAGCACGGCGGAGGGGGCTCGGCTCCCCCCCCCGCCCCGAACAGACAGGCTTTGCGTGCCGGCAGCTGAAGCGTTGGCCGGCCCCGTGCCTCCGGAGGCCGAAGGCTCACGAGGGGTGCCCTAGCCACAGCTAGCTCCTCCGCCCCGCTGGGTGCGCTCTGGGCCAGAGACACTTCTTCCGCGCTCTTGCAGCTGATTCAGTTCTGCGCTTATTTTAACGCTATGCGTAATCAAAGCAATGAAATAGATGTGCGTAAAGGTGGGACGTGTAAGTTAGGCATGGTGTGGCTGCGGCGGAGCAGTACCAACACAGGGCTCTTCACCTTTCAGAGTGAACAAGGGGATGTTGGGCCTCTCGCTTACGCTGTTGGCTGCCGATTCTGAACGCCCCGAAGTCCCAATTTTCCCAGCTCTGTTGGCTTTCCATGTCTCTAACAATGGCCTTCAGGCTTTCCTTAAGACTTAACGTGCCACCAGTAAGGTGCCATGCGAAGGGGGCCGGAATCTCTACGCTGGTATAAAATAAATACCGTGCGGGACTGGGGGGGAAGGGAGGGGAGCCAAGCCTGGGGCGCTTGAGGTCGATGTGGCTGAAATCCTGGCACTTAACAAAATCTCCTTTTGTAACCGAGCAAACATGCTCGTCCTGCCTGTTTCTCTGGAAACCTATAGAGTTTAGTTAAAAGGTTAAAGTTGACATTGGCCGGTTCTTTGAAATCGGATCTTATGCTGTTTGTGTGCATGCTGCATTCAAATACGCAAAATTTGCAGATTCAGGTGTAATTGTTGGCTAAATTGCGTGTATGTCTTATGATACTAAAGCTCCCTGAAGGCAACTCAGAAACTAGCAAATTTTCTTATACGCTGTTAGTATATACTGTGTTGTTCACGTACGTGTGTTTCCGAGCTAATTCACTTTCTGATTAGATACTTAAAGATTCCATATAAATCAAACTTCATAGATTACTTCTCTTATGTTAGAATGTAGTATCTCCACACTTTACAGAGGTTCACCTACTTGTTTTTGTTCTTTTTACGGACTCTTATTTTATGTAAGTAATTTAAAAGTTAATTGAGAGCTCAGGAACGTCCTGGAGTGGTGCTTGTGTTGCTTTGTAAGGTGAATTCCAGTGCAAGCTGCTGCGATACCGGAGTTGTCGCGTACACGCGCTTTCAACCTCTTCTGCAGGGTTCGGTTGGAAAAACTGAACCGAGAGAGTTGCTGTCTTTTGTGCTCGAGCCTGCCCTTGGCTGCCTGCCCCCTGTTGCTTCCCCTGCCCTGCAGCTGGCCTGCCCCCCGTTGCTCCCCCTGCCCTGCAGCTGCCTGTGCCAGGGCGCCGCAGAATGCGGTGAAGGCAGGATTATGACTTCACTGGAGGGTCAGGCAGGAGGCGGTGGCTGGTCCTCGGAGAAATCGCTTGCAATAGCAAGTGAAAATGCAGGTGAATTGACTTGTGGATTAACTGCTGAACCCTTCATTTCCCAAAGCCTAAGCAGCTCTTTGAAGTTTATTTCAGTAAGCGCAATCACACAGTAAACACTTAATGCTCTCCTAGCACAGAAGTCACAGAGCAGCTGAGATTTACTAAGATTAGCAGTAAGAGATTAAAGCAGTTGATGCCAAATGTGCTTTGCCCATCTCCTCAGAAGTGCTCTATGGCACCTGCAGAGCTGCGTGGTGTTTGGCAGATGAGGGTAAATGGCTTAACTAGCACATTTCTTCTAGCATACTTGGACATACGAGACTACTCAAACGGAATATGAAATTGCCCTTCCAGGCAATTTTAACTTAACATTTGGCAGGCGGTGGGTGAAGTTTGTTTGCCTGTGCTGAAAGTCAAGGTTAAAAAAAAAAAAGCCGTAAGTGGTAGCAGCAATATTCCACTCTGTAAAATCCTGCCTTTGCTCTTGTAGATTGAAATTGATGATGTGATAACAATAAATCCTGAGTTATCAGAACTACCTGCTGCAGATGCAAAAGAGAACCTTCCTTTGCAAGAGAATGTAACTGTACAGGTAAGTGCTTTAAAGTGATTTAGTCTCTCCTAAGGTACTGAAGTGTCAGCAGCGTAGGTCTTGTTACAAACAATACCCTCAGTCTCGAAGTTTGAGGTCTCTAACTTGTCTTTTCTGTCTCACAGTTAGACTTTGGTCAGAAATCCTTGTTTCATCAATGTTGCCTTGAAGTGCTGTGCTAGGTGTTTGCAGCTTACTCCAATTACTTACAGCAGTCATTGTTTTTTCAGAAACAGAAGCGTAGAACAACCCTTTCAAAAATTCCTGCTCCACGGGAAGGTGAGAAACTGTTCTTTTCTCTGCTGTATCCCTGTGAAACAGTGGTGGTCTTCCATTGTGGCCATAATATTCTAGCTGAGTGCATCATAAGGCTGCTTATTCAGGCAATGCTAATAAAGACCATACTGGTTCATACCAACGCTTTGGACTCCCGAGTGCAGAACCTTTGCTGACAGATTGCCGTCCTCTTCCTGTGAGCTGGGGTTTGTTGACGTGTTGCCCTTTTCTGCAGCATTGCTGTAGTTATTCCTTGATACTGCTTTAAATGTCACTAGGCAGTTACTGTTGCAGTGTGTTTTAAAGTTTCATATGGAGTTTTGCAAATGCCACAAACAACAAAAGGTAAGTGGCAGTTATTAAGATTAAAAGTGTCAAAATGAGAGTGGAAAGGGCAAGAAAGAAATAGCGGTGACAAATGGATGTCTCCTCTTCAAACGGTCCCCCTAAACAATAACTAGAGCTTTATCCTTGGAGACGTTTCAGACCAGGCAGCCAAAGTGGCAGCTGGTGTGCCATAGCTCAGTGATTGTGTGTCAGTACAACGTTTTGAGCAAAGCCAGGAGAGAAGATAGAGATGTCAGAGTGTGGGATTGCTAAGGAATTGGTTTTCTTGAGGTGTCAGGAGTTAGAAAACTCTCACGTTTTCTACCTTCTTTTAGCTTATTAGTTGACTCTCTTGGCTTTTTGAATTGCAAGTGGTAGTGTTACAGGTTAATGTAATGTTATGTTACTTGTGTGATGCTGAGGTTGCTAATTTAATGATTGTCTTAAAGTGCATAATTAGCCAGAACTTGTGCTTTTCCATGCCACTGAGCTGTAAACAAAACAGCTGGGCTTGCCTGGCCTCTCTTGCTGTATGTGGTGCAAGACAGGGAAGCTGGTACCAGAAGACAACAGCACAAATCCTCTTGCATCACAGAGGCAGTAGTAGTCAAAGAAGCTCAGTGTGTCAAAAGTTGTTCTGTACTAGAGCATCCCGACCTTCCTCAAATGTCTCTCCATAAATTTTGTGAATGGGCAAGCAAAATGGTGTGGTAAAGTCGTGACTGTCTCTAGACAGGTCAGTTAATGGACCTGGACAGCCAGCTGGAAAAATAAAGGTGTCTTAATCCAGTCACTGATTGATGGAAAAATATCCTCACAGAGGTCACAGCTTTCCTGAAGTATAGAATCTAATTGCAAATCTGAAATATCTGTTGCCTTTCCTACTGGCACAATCTTGTCCCTGAAGACCTGCTCAGAGCACAAGAGAGAAGCAATGTTTTCAGTATTCCTCAAATATTATCTTGTTATAGCTAGCTAAACCCCATGAGTGTCAGTGAGTATCTGTCCTGTTGCAAACTCTGCACTCACCAATTAGAAAGCTCACGTTGGCTTCAGGTTTTGGTTCTCACACTAAACAAATTAAAGAAGATTAGGAGGTGTCTGCCTCCATCTCATTCAGGGAAGTGAGAGAAGCAGCAGCAGTGCTTTCAGAATGAATTAAGAAACAGATATTGCCTCAGTCCTCTGAACCAATAAGAATTTTGGAGGATGCTGAATATCCTCATGTACAAGAATCACTTGAATAAACCCATTTAGGTGCAGCAAGTCCTCCAGTTATTATGCCTGTCCAGGAGCACTATCATTTACAGAAAAAGTGCTGCTGAGTCGGTGATCAGATCAGGTCTGGGCATGTATGACAAAAGCAAATGGAATAAAATGTTATCTCTGAGCATAATGAAACTGATGCTTTTTGTTCCTGAAGTTGCAGCAGTGACACCTAATGTCTCTGCACCTGAGCAGAAGATCCCAGGTAAAGAGTTAACAGATAAGAGCACTGAATTTCGTGGGTATGGTTCTAAGGAATTTGATCCAGAATTGAAATTTACCCTTGGTCTGAAACAGATCTGGCGTCCTTTGAAATCATAGTGATTAATTCTGGATAAATTATTGATTGCTAGAGGTGAAGGCAGTTCTAGCTTTCATACCACACTTCTATTTTTTTCATATCAGATTTGCTTTCTTTACAAATCTATTGAGGTGTATGTTGCAATCCCTTCCCCAGACAGCTTTGCGAGGGACTTGGTCTCAGTGAAAGAAATACCTTGGCATGTGACAATGGAGACTGCCTACAAAAGGACCCTTTCCAAAGATTTACTGTTGCGATTATATAGAGTCTTCTAGCTGAATTTAGTGTTATCAAGCTCCTACTCCGCTGTGCACCATGCACGCTGTCTGTGTGTGGGTGCTGCGATGGTGGGCGTGATGCTGCCCGTGATCAGTTGCCAGATTGCAGTACTACTGTCACCATCAAACAGTGAATTCGCACAGCCCTGCAAGGGTGAAGCTTCAGAGGATTTCCCAGTTCCCTGAGTTGTGACTTCTTTCTTCCTAGGTATTAAGGTTCTGGAAATGACATATTAGTGAATCCTTAGTGGTATCTAAAAGAAATTCACTGGAACCGCAAATCTGGAAGGAACCGTTTGCTTTTCTGTAGTGGTATATTTCATGATCACTTTTCACCCACCTACGTTGCTTTGTCCTGCACTTTGCTAATGCATCAGAGATCTGGAAATGGTCCTTTTAACCACACCTTGTTCCCCCCTGCTCTGCATTTTGTGAGCACTTGATTTACTTGCAAATGTCTGAGTGTCTGAGGCATGACGCTGACCTTGAATTCTTGTTTCCAAAGCTGTGTGTGGCCGTTCCAGGATGTCTGTTATCACAGAACCTCAGTGCAGCCTCCAGGAAAATGAGATGGGGGTGGATCCCTGCACTTCTACACAAACTAGAAACAATTCATCGGTTCCTGGTGAGTGGAGAAAGAACCCAGTGAATTCTTACTATGAAGCGAGATGCTTTGTATGCATTTAATTAGGTAAACTGCAAATCCCAAGGGGAGGAGCAGCCTCTATCCCTTCATATATAAAAGGAGAGAGACCTAGAGGTCTGCTGCTGTGTAAACATCCAGGGCTCCTACCTGAAGGGGTTCTCAAAGGACTTTGGAAACAATGTTGTTGAATAATGATGTGCTTTATTAGCCAGAGGTGCAGCTGTGCACGTGGGTGGATGTGGTATCTGCTTAATGGCATGAAGTGGTATTCACAGGGCTAGAGTGGGAAGAGAAGTGCCTTAATACTGCTGACAACGTGCTCTGTAACTATACTGGTAGCAGTTTTACCTATACTGGTTGAGTAAAGCAAGAACTTGAGCCTACTTGAATTATGAAATTGTAGTTACTTATCTTTACCAGACCTCCCCTATGAGTAGTTGAGGGCATACCTCCTGTATTAAGTTCTGCAAAGACATTGAAATAGAGGGTTTATACTAAATTCTTGTCTAGTCGGTGTGGCCTTGATTTGTAGCTTTGAATAAAAGTTGATTGGCAAAGGATTTAAAAAATTATTTGCACGCTTACCACAGGTTTTAGCTAGTTCTCTCTCCTGATCCAGAATCAGAGTTGAGGAATGCCTGTGGTCTGTGAGGCTTTACAAATTACAAAATTATTCTTGATGTTTGGGATCTAATTATTGGTTTTGGTCTGGCTTCTTTCTGCAGCTGGCCAAACCAGGACTAGCAGGCTGAGCTGTGCTCCAGAAGCCTCACTGACAAATGTAAATGGAAATACAGGGGATCATCTGCCTGCTGCTAGAATGAGCTCTTCAGTGAGCCCAGGTACCAGGGAGCAGTGGGTAAGAACTGCCTCACCAGCCAGCAATGCATCACTATGTGATTGCTGCTCTGTATACTCTGAGACTAAAGCTTTGAAAAGGTGGCTTTGGCAGTAAGACTGAATATCTTGAGTATTTTTTATTACAAATGTATAATTCTGTTATTGCGGTATCTCCTCAGAAATGCTGCCTTTACTTTGGAGTGGTAGTGAGGCTTGCTAGGCAGTTTCTGTGGTAGGTAGATCTGGTTTGGGAAGGAAGCACAGCAAAATTAATGACCATCCTTCTGAAGATGATTGTTTCCTGTACAAGTTAGTCTGTCAGCAGCCTGGAAAAGTTGAAATATTTGTATTGTGCTTAAAAACTAGTATGAAAATTTAATCCAGGGAAATGTTTCTATTTTATCTAGTTCGGAGAAGATCTAACATTGTGAAAGAGATGGAGAAAATGAAAAACAAGAGAGAAGAAAAGAGAGCTCAAATTAGTGAAATCAGGACAAAGCGTGCACAGGTGGAGTACTCTACAATACACCAGTAAGGGGAAATTCTATAGCATAGTGCATCACAATAGTTGAAACTAAAACATTTTGGACAGGCTTTGTTCTTACGAAGCTGTACATAAGGATGGATTGATTCTAGTTTCAGGAAGTTCTGAATCTTGTGGCCTTTAAGTGAAATATTTCTAATTGTGTACAGCTGATTGTTTACTATGCTCTGGGGCTTTTTTGCTGTAACAGGTTAATTACCTTCACATCCATGGTTTTTCCATGCAGGAATTTGACAGCAGCTGTCCAAACTGGGAGTTTGCACGGATGATCAAGGAATTCAGAGCAACTTTAGACTGCCAGCCAATATCTATAACTGACCCAGTAAGTAAATACTGAGGCTACTAACTGCAGCCTGTAGACAGACTTCTTTATTTTGTACTGAAGATTTTAGCATACGAGCAATTTAGTGCATGGCTGCACCTTGGAAATCCTCTGAGCATACTGTGATCTTGAGGCACCTGGTGGCATATGTGAGGTCACTTGCTTCCCCTATTTAGGGCTAAGCTGCCTTGCATTACTTTACTTTGCATATGTCACTAGTAAAGAGCTTGCGCTCTCACAATTACCGTGCAATGACTTGTGTGGTAACATCAGTATTTCTCAGAGCTTGTAAATGGCAGAGCCTACTACATAGTAGCTTAGCTTGTTGTAGGTATAGGTATAATTTAAAATGGCTTATTGCCCTATAACAGAACATGTTATTTTATGTAAGTCGTATATTAAGTAATTTTAAACTAGGTCAAGAAGCAGAGAAGCAAAAATAGAGGTCAAAAACTAGAGAAACTAGGCTGGCTTGATACCTTCAGCAATTATGGAGGTAGTATTGTTTAATACCTGAGAACAAGTAGTCCTTGCCTAGCAAAAGCCTCGTTATGGTCAGTGAAAAATAACAGCATTTAAGTTCAAACAGAAAAGTGGGTGTGGACTAGCCTAGAACACTCGGTGGTTTGTGTGCCTGCATCCTACGGGGCTGAGAACCAGCTGTTTGTGTGCATATCGCTGCATGACGGAAGAGGAGTTTGTCTTCTGCTTTCTGCCTCACCCAATGGAATATGCACTTTTCTAAACTCGACTGATGTGTAGCTGTGCTGCACAAATAGCTAAACTTACTGCATCAGTAAAGAACTCAGGTCAAAAAAAAATACCTCTGGGGTAAATTTAAAATAATAATTTGCCTGAATTTGGCCATAGTTGCAGTCTTGATATCACAGATTTTTCTGGAAAGCTGGCTGAGGACTAAACTTACTAATTCTGATACAGAATATTTGGGGCACTTTCTATAGCATAGCAGCATTTCCACCTGATATGTTGGAGCATGCTACGTAAAGGTCAATTGTTTGTAGCGTTTCTTCTGCACTAAGTGGACTTTAAGACTTACATCCCTGCATGAGTGGGTCTGATCAGTAGCAGAGGCAACTCTGATCAGCACATAGAAAAGTAGCTGGGAGCATCGGATTTCTCTCTGTTATACTAAGTAGGTATGGGTGTAATTGGGAAATAATTATTACTTGATTTCTTACTTTTCTTTTAGATAGAAGAACATCGGATTTGTGTCTGTGTGAGGAAGCGCCCTCTCAATAAACAAGGTGAGCGTACTGACAAAGCAGCTCTGTCCTGGAGCAGTTTGACATTGCTTATACTTGTTAAAACTGAGGGTCTTTTCTGTCAACAGAACTTCTAAAAAAGGAATGTGATGTGATTACTGTTCCGAGCAAGTGCGTCCTGCTGGTGCACGAGCCAAAGCAGAAAGTGGACCTAACAAAATACCTTGAAACCCAAGCATTTAGATTTGACTTTTCATTTGATGAATCCTCTTCTAATGAAATGGTATACAGGTAATGCTTTCTTCTCATTGGGAACAACTTTCAAGATAAAAGCGTGGAGCTATGGCTAGGTGGCATCCTGGCTTAAAGAAACTGCTACCTGAAATAAATATTAAAATCCTTTTTGGAGGAAACCAAAGGACTGAAAAGTCTAAAGCCTATTTTTGTCATGGCCTTGCTGATTTCCTAAGGATTTGCTTTTATTTGCTTGTTTAGGAAAACTGATGAAGCAGGGTGTGAAATGCTTGCCTTAACTGTCTTTTACCTTCTGAATATCCAGGTTCACTGCTAGACCTCTTGTAGAGACCATCTTTGAGGGTGGGAAGGCGACATGCTTTGCATATGGCCAGACAGGCAGTGGCAAGACACATGTAAGTCTTTCTCCAAGGTCTCAAATTTTCTAGCTTTATCTAAAGTATTTTAAAACTCCTTGATGTTGATAATGAGTAGGATTGTATAAGGAGCTTGGATCTTGGTTTTATTGTCTTAAAGCTAATACTTTGTCAGTTGTTAATCCTCTTTTTCTGTAGTTTTATGTATTAGTGGGTTTCCTTTGAGGTTGTGAGGAAAATCGTACTAAAATCCCCCCATAGCTGGCTTTTTAAAGACTTAGGATGCCCTGACATGTTAGTGTTAGTCATGGCTATTCCTTGCCTCAAATGGCTGTTGCTGAACTCCAGTCTGCAAAGTGGGGCTATTGGCCTACATCTGAGACAAAGGCTATTGTCTGTGTTGTGTTTTGAGCTTGGAGGCATTCCAAAGACTTTAGTGATTGTAAATAAGCCTCCTTTGCACATAAACATTTAAGTGATCTGGTATTGTTTGCGAAGTGGGCAAATTAGTGTGTTCACTTTCTAACCACTCCTTCCAGTCTACCAGTTGCAGTTTCAAGAGACCTGAAGATTGTGTTTTCTGCCTCAAAGGTCATCTGCTCTAAATTTCCAACAACTGTGTTGTCTTAACTTTCTTCTTCTGGAAACTATAGGGAAGGAAAGTGGGGAAACTCTCTTCCCCCACAGCATGATAGTGGAGTCACATCTGCTGTCTTGTTCTGCAAGAAGCCTTTACCTCAAACCACAGCGATATGGACTGGACTAGGCCAGCCTGCCAGTTTGAGTAATCAGACAGTTGCTGTTATTCCAGTGTTATTGGCAAGTTTTAGGTTAGGATCTCCTATCACTAGTGCTATGTAGTGAGCTGTAGATCTCTTCCAGTAACCCAGAAGGAAATTTGGAATTTTATACAAGTTTGGACATAGGCTGCCCTCATTGCATTGGAATGGGCAGACTAATCTGCTCATCTGAGCATCCTCACAGGAATACAACTGTGAGGCACTAAAATCATAGGCAATGAAGTTACTTTCCCTTCCTGATCCTAGGGTGCAGAATGAGTGCAAGGACAATAGCTGTACCTTGAGACTGGAGTGCTGCATATTAAACTCTGGTAGATTGAGAATGTGTCATGGCACTGAGTTGTGTTTTAAATAATTGACTCTATTTCATATAAAAGTGGTAGAGCAAGTCACCAGGATAGCACCAACTGAAAATTTTGTTGGGATTAAAGGTATCTTGGTCAGAGGAGTTAAAGGTATTTTCTGCTCTAGAAGTTTGATACATTTTGATATCACATGTGAGCTTTTGCAAGTAGCAGTGAAAATGTTACTCGACCTACGTCCTAAAAAATGAGGCTTTCTTCTGACCAGAGGCTATTTGGTTGTGCTGCGAGACCATGCATTTCCCCTTGAAGGAACATCTGCTTTGACTCTGCACTGCAGAGCCTTACAGGCATTCAGCTGTTGCCTTGCGTAGTCCAGATCTTCTTTCTGAACTGATAGGGAAGCAGCAAACTAATTTTATCCTGAATTGCACTGTGTTCTAATCATCTTGCTGACATTGGAGCATACGTATATATGGTAACTTCTTAGTATGTTCTTGGGACTAAAATCAGATAGCCTGACTTGTTTGTACCACGCCTTACCTCTGGCCTTTTCTCTTCACAGACTATGGGCGGAGACTTCTCCGGGAGAGCACAGAATGCCTCAAAGGGCATATATGCTTTTGCATGTAAGTGGATTCTTCTTTAGATATGAAAATCAAATTAGTGCTTGTTTTTCTTAAATAGATAAGATCTGTTTTTGTATGGTTATTTAAAATGTTTCCAGTGAAAGATACATAAAGTATTTGTTTTCAGTAATAAGTAGTGGTGTTTGTTGCAGGAGGTATAATTATTTTTTTCAGTTTCACAAAACATTTTCCATCCTGCCTGTAAGTTTCTAGATCCACACTTAACTCACCAGAAGATATTTGGTTTTGAGGCAAAGAGGTGACATTTTCTAGCTTGGCATTTGCTAAGCTGAACCATTTAATTTTGATTCTTCTGCTTTGGTTTTTGTCCCAGACTAAGGATGGTGTTTGGAAATACCTGACATGAATGCAACACAACCCTACCCATTTCTGATATAAAGCTTGTTATACAGAAAGCACACGAATGTATGTGTTTATGTTTCTTCTTGTAAGCATTAGATGCAAAAAAACCTAGCACATACAAAATGATTTCAGAAAACAGATGCTTAGAAGCCCTTCCTTGATATAATGCCTAGAAAGCACCATGAACCCTGACCTCTTCTACCTTCCCTTTAGAAAGGCATATTGTGAAACTAGTCTGTGTAGCCAGGCAGCTGAAACAAGAGCAACTGTTTGCTAGTCTCTGAAAATCAGTTATGACTGGCCCTGAAGGAAAGTCTTTGCTTTTCAGCTCAATTTCAAAGTCTGAAGCCTAATTGTGAGAAGCTGCACTGGATCCAGCCAAAGGGTCAACTAATCTGGTATATTGCCTCCAAACAGCAGCAATGCTCAGGGATGCATGTTTTTCTAGGCTTTCCGCGCGAAGTGCTTGAAACACAAACACATGATTTTCAGGCCTGTCCAAAACAATAGCAGATCCCAGTGTTCCCCCAGATCAGTAAGGATTGCTGTCTGCGGGTGACATTAGCAGTAGAAACTTCTGTATTACCCTGTGTTTTCAGTCCCTGGATGAGGATGCTGCTGGAACTGTTCTCCAGGTGGTAGCACAGTGCTAATTGTTCCACTAGCATTTGTTTAGGATGACTGTCATTCAGCTGCTAGACACTGCCTTACAGCTGTGCAATATTCAAAAGTAGATCAATAGCAACTAGAATATGTTTTAAACTAGTTAACTAAGCTCCTGCCTTTCCTCACTAGCACAAGATGTCTTCCTCCTTCTAAACCAGCCCAGGTACAGGAGTCAGGGCCTGGAAGTCTATGTGACTTTCTTTGAAATATACAATGGAAAGGTAAGACTTTTTTTTTTTTTAAATCTTGACCTGACTTCTTTGGCTGAATATTTCATAAGTAGCTCAGTGAAACTTCCTAGTTTCTATAGTTCTATATAGTCTATTCTTGGTGTGTTTGGAATTGAATTGGAAGGCTATGTTAAAGGTGCTGTTTCTATATAGCTTTCTGTAAAGACAGTGCAAAATACTCACAAGGAGACTTTGTTCAGATTTGCCTTAATCTTGTTGCCTGAATATAGGTGTTTGACCTCTTGAATAAGAAGGCAAAGCTTCGAGTCCTGGAGGACGGCAAGCAGCAGGTCCAGGTCGTTGGTCTCCAAGAGAGACAAGTCGGCTGTGCTGAGGATGTCATCAGAATGATTGAGATGGGCAGTGCCTGCAGGTTTGATGCCTTAAAACCAATAGGAAGAGTCATGTCCTGTTGTACTTCTATGTCTACAAAAAACATATAATATCTGTAGCTGGTGCTTTGAGACTACCTTTTCGATGCAAAGGGAATAATAAGTAAAGGGGAAAGCAAAAACACACAGAGACACAAAGCTGAAAGACAAGGGATAATGTAGACAATGCAAAAGGCCAAAAGCCTCCAGTTGCTAATTGATGGGCCATTAAGAAACTGCAGGCACAGCTTTGGAAAGGCCAAAGGTGACTTTGTAACTTATAAGAAGGAAGGAAAAAAGAGGAGAGTGATGATATTTGATGGGGGAAGCTGTGGGACTGTGCAAAACTTAAAAAGGAATGTTTAGAGGAATGGGACTGGGGAGAAGCAAAGTGGGGAACAGACAAAAGGGGGTATAAAAGGTGCCAGTCACTGTGGCTAGTCAGTACGCTTGTCTGCTAGTCTTTCACCTGATCACTGCAGTCTTTCCTATCTTCTTATTAAATCCTTTCTTAACTATCTGTCTGTGTAATTTCACTCTCTACCCGGTATGTGTGTGCTAGGACTAAGTGCTAGCTACTTGAAGGACCAGTGTGAGTGGATGTGCACCACCTACAGGGGTCAGACAGGGGACGTAGGTCCCCCCAGGCCTGTGGTGCCAGATTTGGAGCAAGTGGATTCTCAGCATCAGTAGTTGGAGATGCCATAGCTCTCCTGAGCATGTCATAGAATCATAGAATGGTTTGGGTTGGAAGGGACCATACAGTTCACCCAGTTTTACCCCATATCCTATCTCTATACTCCCTGATAAAGAGTCCCTCCCCATCTTTCCTGTAGGGCCCCTTTAAGTACTGGGGCCTGATATTAAAACCATTACCCCATATCCTATCACTATACTCCCTGATAAAGAGTCCCTCCCCATCTTTCCTGTAGGGCCCCTTTAAGTACTGGAAGGCCTGATATAAGGTCTCCCTGGAAGAGAGGTCCTCATACAGAAGGTGTAAACAGGAGCTTGTTGTTCCTGGTAACAGGCAGGCACTGAGCAGCACCTCTGCATGAATGTAAGATGGTTACAGAATAAAGGGCTAGCAGGGATGGGTTTAGCCTGCCTTCCATAGAGAAGGCCAGAGTTCATGGTTCATATGTCCTCATGTAACTCCAAGAGAGAAACTATTCACGTGAGGAGATGGCTGCCCTGGTGCCGCAGCTAAACTGAGCAGTCTAGCTGCTTTCTAGAAGTATCAGCTAGCTTACAGGAGCACAGGTAGCTCCCTGTGGGCTTGTAAAATCAAGGAAGAGCAGCTGGCATCAACCTACAGTTGCAAAAATGCTTTGGCTTAACTGCAAGCCAGATGAGCTATTCCAATGGCAACAAAAATACTGCATGTTGTTCAGGTATCTAAAGAATCCTTGAGAGCAGGTGCCAAGGTACAGCTGTAGGCTTGGCTCATCATCCTGGCAGGGAAGGCTGTGGTTGGGGCAACTCTACCATCGTACTGGTGTCTTTGATCAGGAGGTAAAATCTGTATTACCAAGTCTTATCTGTCCAGTTAAGTTGCAACTGCAGTGGAAACGTTACTAGGCAAATGAGAACTCCTTGGCTTCTGTATTACACTGCATGTGCAGATAAGCACATCCTGAAAGCTCATTCAGCACTCTGCTGTGCATGCTTTTTTGACTGACAATTCAGCCAAGAACTCTTGAACATTTCAGATTCCTGCCTCTCTTTAGGACAACGTCCCTCCCTTTCCCCGAGCAGTAGGGATGCAGGTGGGACAGTGAACCTGCCAGCCTTCTCAGGGAATAAATGATAGTGAAGGTCACAGGGAGGTTTATGGTAACTTATAAGGCTCCAGTCTGTGTCTTGCAGTGATGGGGCAGGCGTAGTTGCACAGCAGAGGTAAAGTGCCAAGCTAGCTTGGCTGGAGAAGGGGATTTACCACGATTGTAATGTGCTAGCACAGCTAATGCTGTTTAGTGGGGAGCTTGGCTGAGCTTACTGGGTGATGGCAGATGCATTAGGAGAATGACATGTGGCCTGCTCTGAGACAGGGGGGTGCAGCGCTGAAGGTATGAAGCAGTCAGAAAGGCATTCCAGTGTAGTCTGGCTGAGCTGAGCCAGGCAGATTAAATAGCCTTAAATCTCTACAACTGGGGTGCAGGTTCATATTTCTCAGAGCAGTCCTTCTGTGCTCTTATATCAGCGGTAATTCCGTAATTCATGCAAACTGGAGGTATTAATGTGTGGGATAAAACTGGGGAGGTTAAACAACTTAATTGAATGGCTGCAGGTCTTGTCTACTGCTGTTGGGACTTGTTGCGTCTTCTGTGACACTGTTCTAATGCTTGTTTTCATCTTTGCTGTAGGACATCTGGGCAGACTTTTGCAAACGCTAGCTCTTCACGGTCACATGCCTGCTTCCAAATTATACTACGCCGAAGAGGGAAACTGCTTGGCAAATTTTCTTTAGTGGATCTGGCAGGAAATGAGAGGGGTGCAGACACATCTAGTGCTGATCGGCAGACACGAATGGAAGGTGCAGAAATCAATAAGAGCTTGCTGGCTTTGAAGGTGAGCTATAGCCCCGGGAGCGAATAGAGCTAATCAACACATAGATTCTGTTCAACTCTGGTGTTATCTGTTCTGCTTCTTTCCAGTACAAAGGAAAAGAACAGCCAAAAAGATCCTAGTTTAGTATGTTAGCAACCCTGAAAATGGTGTATATTCCATTTAGAAAGTTTCCAGGAAAGTACTGCAGTCTTGTCAGGCCAGAAACTGGTACAGCCATTTCAAGCTTCATAAGTTGCCTTAACACATAGATTCTGTTCAACTCTGGTGTTATCTGTTCTGCTTCTTTCCAGTACAAAGGAAAAGAACAGCCAAAAAGATCCTAGTTTAGTATGTTAGCAACCCTGAAAATGGTGTATATTCCATTTAGAAAGTTTCCAGGAAAGTACTGCAGTCTTGTCAGGCCAGAAACTGGTACAGCCATTTCAAGCTTCATTCAAGTTGCCTTTTTTTTTTACATATGATGGATATACCAGCTGTCCTGTGACAGTCAAATACCTGGAGTATATTTAAAAGGCTATGAGAGCAATAGAGATGACCGTTCTTCAGCCTGTTGGGTTTACCAGCAATCGGTGGTTGATAGCTTGCAGAGCTGTTTGAGAAGAGATGCGGATATTGCATTCACAAGACTTGTCTTTTCTTAGGAATGTATCCGAGCTTTAGGGCAGAACAAATCTCATACCCCTTTCCGGGAGAGCAAGCTGACCCAGGTGCTAAGAGACTCTTTCATAGGAACAAACTCAAGGACCTGTATGGTGAGTATGTGCATGGCACAAACATACACACTGCTTATGGGTTCTGCAATTTGACCAAATAGCTGCATGCTCTTCTAGAGTGAGAGGACTTTGAAGTCAGAAAGCTTCAGTTCTCTGCAAAAAGTCGGTTTTCCTCCCCCACTCATCCACGGTGACTGAGGTCAAAAACTGGTGAGCTTTGCCCAGCCCCAGTAGAAGCAGGGCTGCAGAATTCACTTTCATACAGTGAATCTACAGTTGAGCCTGGTGTGTTCTCAAAGGGCTTTGCTTCCTGTGGAGCGTGCAGCACAGTGGGTGTGCACAAAACCAGTGGAAAGCTGGATACAGGGCCACTGGCATGTCCAACAGAAGCTATAAAGAAAAATGGACTTGACAGAATGTCTCAACTCTGACCCTTTGCTCTAACATGTCCCAGCTGCCTGGTGAGATCTGTAGGGCCATTAACATGAGCAAAAGTCAGAAGTGGGAGTCACTGAGGTATTTTGTTCTGTTTGCAGATAGCAATGATTTCTCCAGGCATGAGTTCGTGTGAGTACACCTTAAACACACTGAGATACGCTGACAGGTAATGGCCTTTCTGACTTGGGGATTCTACTCTTGTTGCAGAAGGTGTTTTGGCTGCTTTTATTCTGACCAAAAGTTCTCTTGTCATTGCCTGTAATGGCAATTTGGACATTGGTTGTTAGGAGCAAATTAACTTAGAGCTGTCTTATGAAACGAACCTGGGTGTTCTCTGTGTGAGACATAATAGAGATTGTATTAAATGGTGACTAATGTCTCCTTTCCTCAGAGGAGTCTCTCATGCTAGACTTCAGACTGCCCTGTTTTCTGTAGGGAGTTTACACTGTCCTGAATGGTTACCTCTATGCCCTTTACTTTTTTTAGTACTTTGGGTTCCATCTGTAAGTGGTGTGCTAAGAATGTGTCCTTGACATGGCCCTACAGATGACACAAAACACTTGGTGTTCTTGACGGACTTTGATATGAACTAATAGGGTATGGCACCTTGGAGACTGGGCAAAATCTGAAGGACCTGGAGAACTCAAATGCCTTGAAGCAGATGGTGGGAGTGTGTTTTGTGCCCCATGGTTGACCTTGGGTACCCACAGGGCAAGGTAGACTTGTAGGGACTGAGCCCCAGGTCTCCCTGGAGGTCTTGCTGGTACCTGGAACCCCTGTGACAGAGCAGTAAGTGCCTCCCGGTCTCTGCTTTATGTGCATCTACACCTCTCCGGTGAGGTGACAAGCAAAAAGAAGACTGACTTTTGTCATATGTTAACAAGATGACACTTGAACATTTCAGGCTTGGTAGCTTTCCTTCATTTAGTTCACAAAAGGCTGCTTGGTTCCTTCCTGGAAAGCGTTCCACTCTCTGAAAGGATGTATGGTAATTCTTGTCATAAGCGTTCAGGAATGCTGTGAATCTCGACAGATTCCCAGATTTGATTCTGGATTGAAGGTGCATTTTTTCCTTCTGGTGGACAGTCATTCCTGCTCACCTGGAAATACAGGACATACATCTGATGTAGTGTGCTTCAGTAAGATTCTAGTCTTGAGTTGGGCCCATTGGGTTCTTAGCCAATGCACAAGGCAAGTTCAAGCTATAAGAAAGGGGGTATTAGGCTGAAACTCACTGGAAATGTGAAGCTGATGCTAGTAGCTGGAATGAAATGCCCAGCTGGTATCTGACATCTACCTCTAGTACCATGTCATCAGCCATGGCTTTTATCCTTATTATAGACCTATTCTGGCACAGTGGGTCTCTGGGAAAAATCAACCTTATTCCTTTCCTTTCCATACCAAGTTCTCTTGGTCATGACAGACCAAGCTGACATGTGGAAGACAGCTTCTGTGAAAGGCGTTGCTGGCAATTAGCATTGTGTACTTGGACACCTCTCTCCAGGAGAGGTCCTAGATTGAGCATGGAGACAAACATCTCCCAGCTTTCCTTCCCACAGCCCTCTGGGGCTTCTGCCCATGTGAGCTTGTTCTGGGGGTGGTAATGTGCAACTTAAGTGCAGCCAGATGTTTCTTGCTGAGCACTGATTGATTGCAGTAGCTGTTTGTGATGCTGTAGCCCAGAAACTGCTGGAAGAAGAGTTTGAGTGACAAATCTTCTTGTTGCAGAGTGAAAGAGCTCAGCCCTCATAATGGAGGTGGTGAAACACAGAATCAGATGGAGACTGAGAATGAGGAAACGGAGACCAGTGGAGAAGGCTCAGGTTACAATGTATGTGCGTGCAGTGGGCTGAACAGATCTCAAAGCTGGGAACAACTTGCTGTTCTTACTTGGGCTGTTTCTTGCAGCTCTCCAAGGATGAGGAGGAAGATATCTCTCCCCACATGTTCAACTTTCGTGAGGCTATGACTCAAATTAGTGAACGGGAGGAGAAGGTTGTAGAACAGCTTAGAGAACTGAGACAGGTATGTGGAAGAGGCAGGCCCAGCCCAGGCTGCCTTCTACATGTTGATAGCACCTTGCCTTGTCTGTGCCGAGTGCTGCGGGGTAGGCTGTGGGCTGTACTGCAAGATGCTGTCTGTGGTGTTACTTTTTCCTCACTGCCAACTTTTTCCTGTGGTTTCCTGCCCAGCTGGTTAAACTGGGGCATTTCAGTGCTTGTGGCCAGCTGGTCCCCCTTCCCCTCCAACTAGCAACCTCTCCTTGCTGCTAATGAGCACTGACTGGTACTGGTCTGTAGAAGCTCAGCTCTGTTGATTGGTGTGCCAGATTTGAAGAAACTAACTGAATTTCCAGAAAGTCAGTTTCTCATTGCTGTTATCCTTGTAAATATAGAGAATGACAACTGAACTTGACTACCTCTTGGGAATCACAGAGCAACCAGACTATGATCTCGAGACCTTTGTGAGCAGAGCTAAGCACTTTGTAGAGGAGAACTCAAGAAACTTCCTTAGTGTCAGAGGTATGTTAGTGCCTGTCTCTGACTAGCACTGTCACTAATCTTTTTTCAAAGACCTGAAAGTAGCACCAGCCTACCTGTGGGGGTTTGAGCACCCAGTCCTTCTGCATAGCTTACGGTTCAGATCACTTTCTAGGTGATCATAGGAACAGATCTGAAATGTCCTATTGTCTGCACTTTCCAAAGTAAAATTTTTGGCTAGTAACTTCCACTCGCTTTGCACTGCCATATAAAACTGCCTTCCCTTGAGCAGAATGCAATATCCACCAAGTGCAGACGAGCTGAAGTCTGTTTGGCTAGTTGGCTATATAGTTTACCTTTTGCCTTGGCCAGAAAACAGACTGAGAAATAGGGCCCAGTGCCATATTCTAGGGATTCATAGGGTATGCCCACTGTTTCCACTCCTGTTTTCATGGATATCAGGCCTTAATACCCATCCACTTATAACAAGTGTCTGCCAGGCATATACTGAGATGCCATGTCTGCCAGCACCTGTGTTTGGCATGCCTTTGCCTTAGTAAGGGCATTATTTAATGTGCAACAAAATCCTTCTAACTGTTCAGTTCTGACCCAGTTTGGAGACTTCCCAGCTCTGTGTAGGATGTCAGCTGCCTGTTCCCTGAGCACTGCCTGGCTTTGTTTGGACCGTGCTGGTTGAAGTGGTGGTAGAGAGGCAGCAAGGCAGATGTATGAGCTTGGCCGACACGTGGTAACGGAGTGCCAGCTAGGCAGACCGCCTGACTAGGACAGGGGAAGCTACACTGGTAACTGCTACTTTTCTGCCACTGTTGCAATAACTTGGGCTTTAATTGCTACTTGAGCCATTACAGCTGGCCCAGCCTTTGCCTCAAAAACAGGGCTGTGAGGGTTTTTTATTTTAATGAGGCTGAAAATTGTGGCATCAAAGTGAATGTTAACCTGCAGTAGCGGCTTTTTTCTTGAACAGCCCTGGCTGTCCTCCCATCTCAAATGCAGCCTGAGAGCTGTATCCCCCCATTCGCCATGGAGGGGTGGTGACAAGGTAACAAGAGTAAATGCCCTGCTACCCTCTCTGCCTTTTAGGCCAGGGAAATCTGGCCCTCTGGGGTGGTTGCATTAGTGGCATCTAGTTTGAACTGCAAACTGCAGGCTTGAAACTGTTGATGAGTAGAAATGAACAAGTACAGATGAAGAGCTTTGTGGGGCCAGGCAGGATTTGACGTTGGCTGAGCAGTTCTTGCCCAGTTCACTTCCCTCTGTGGCCCCTGCAGAGCCCTGCTGAGCTGCTGCGGGGAACAGCTGGGCTGGGGAGTTCAGCTTCCAGGTCAGTCACCCTGTCACTGTCTTCCTTCACAGAAACGTTGGATGCCCTGGGGGCTGCCATGCAACTGGAGGAGCAAGCCAGCAAGCAGATGAGCCGGCAGAGGCCTTAGTAAATACAGCAAAACCTGGTTCACAAGCAGTCTTCTGTATGTCTTGCATGTTTGTCAGTGGTTTGTGTAACTCCTATTCTAAATGTGGTGGAGTGTCTGCACGTTATGTGTGCCTGAGGGCAGTGAACACGGCAGCCTCTCTCTCTTCACGGCCTGGTGTCAGGGCACTCAGCAGAGTGCTAGAAACACACCCCCTGCAAGGCTTGGGGAGGGGGGCCTGAGAGTCTGCTAGATGTGTCTAGCATCTGGCCCTTTGCTAGTGACAATGGTCTCCTCTAATAGAACTAGAAACACATGTATAGTTTTCTAGTGTATGTATAACCTTTCCAGATGTGCTTGAAACACTGCAAAACTGCTGCAAGTCTGGCTTTTCTAGAAAGAAAATGGACTATATGTAATTGTAAAAACTCAGTATTTTAAGAAGTTTGATAAATAAATGTTCCTGGATTTAATTATCTTCTATCTTATAAAATATATTTCTTGCTGATTTTGGTGAAGTCTAACAGCCCCTAAAGACTGGCTGGTGTTGTAGAGAGAGGCTGATTTCTTGGATGAAGTTTCTTTTTAAAGTCTTTACACTTGTAATGTTTACCAAAAAATCACTCAAAATAAATTGTCTCTTAATTTTGAGATCCTGCTGGGTAGAACTTGCCTAGCAAGGGGGAAGCTGGTCTAGAGGGTGCCTATCCTGCACCTGAGCTAAGCTCAGCATGTAGTGAGTGGCTCAGCTCTTACGATATCAGGTAAGTAGGAAGGGCCCTGTGAGACTCCCTTGTACCATTGGAGTTTACTTAGGCTTTGAAGATAGCCCCAGGATGTTACTTCACATTGTTACATATATTTCCCATGCCACATAAAATACGCATGTTCAGTAGCCCACCAAAATCTGTATTTAAGGGCAGAAGTGCAAAGCTGGCGACTGGCTCAGGTGCAGCAAGATGCTGCCATGGCTCTTGTGTGCAACCTGGGTCCAGGTGGCCCCACACAATCTGTCCTCTGGGAAGGAGCAGGCAGAGGGGCAGGGTTGGGGAGGACAGACGTGAGGCATGTGCTGCTGCCCTCCATTTCCTGTTTGTTCAGCTCACTCCAGGGTTTGTCTCTAAAAGGACAAAACAGCGCTGTGAGCTCTGGGTCCCACAACACAGGATGCAGCTACACAAACATCGGATTACAAAGAGATCCTTCTAACTGTTACTCCCTTTTTCCCTAGACCCCTTACCCTGGTCTCCTGCTTCCTGAGCTGCCTTCTGCCCCTGAAAGTAAAGGGTGTAACTTAAGTGACCGTGCCCCCAGTGCTGCACACACCTGTGGACTGCATCCTTGCTATGTCTCTGGGGATGTCTGCTGTATTGGAGGCCAGTTCTTCAGCCTGGACTGGGTCCATTTTTGTGTACCAGGTCTCAGGACTGTCCTGGAAAAGGCAGCAAGAGTTAGATCTTAATGGGATGTGGGCAAGTAGCAGTAGTGACAAGCAGCTAGAGAGGGGATACTTCAACCCGAACAGGATCCTCCCTCACAGCTGGGGCACTTTGCAATCAACAGTTTAGGTGCTGGAAGCAGTGTGGGGCTGGGCACTCTAAGGGCCTCTGAACTGTCAAAGCTGACTTGTATCTGGGCTCTACCTGCATCATGTTAAGATGGCACATCCAGAGTAAAAGGGCTGTTATACCCTACTGAGTTTGGACTAAAGCAAGGCAGTCCTGTTCCACTTCAGATGTTACTACACTTGGATTATCCAGTCTTGCCCAGTGGTGTCTTGGGGTGAGTAAGGATGGGCCTGGGTACAAGGAACAAAATGTTGTCCCTTATTTGTTCCACCTTTCCTCCCTGGACCTAACCTTACTAATCTGTATCTCCACCCCAGGAGCTAGAGTCAGGAGGGACCTGATTTGGAGGAGCTCAGTTCACCTCTTGCCTCAGTGGCCCTTCAGCTCACGCTTCTGACATCGAGTTCCTGCTGCCACAGAAGTAGCAGTAGTCTGAGATCCCTCCTTGCTCTGTCTTGGGGCTGTCAGAGCAAATATCTTCCTGAACACCGAGATTGAATGTGAGCACTTCTCAAAGGGTGGCTCAGTTTATTTCTGGGCTCTCATGCAAGACTGAATTTCTTGTGAAAAGAAATCCAGTCCCTACATCCCTGCAAAACAGATCAAGGTCCTAGGGCCACAAATAAACCCTGTAAGGGAGGCATGTTTACCATAAAGCGCTGGAACAGTGTGTGTCCTAGTGCCTTCTTTACGCACTCCTCCACAATGGGAAACGTGTGGACAAAATACTGTAACAGAACAGAGAGTTGGCGTGTAGGGAGAAGGGATGTGAGTATGTGTATAGAGGGTAGAGCTGCATGGATGATGTGGCTCCAGACAATCTGCGTCACATGCCAGTGAGTCCCTGACCTTTAGTGCCGGTGCCACTGATGGCACTTCATGAACACACTAAGAGGAACTTGTGGGTCCCTGCTCAAGCCTCACCTTGTTCCCCCCTGCCCTCCTCCAGTGCCAGTTCCCACCTTCATTCTTGAGAGGAGGGAAGGTGTTTCAGTGAAATGACTGCAGTGCAGCAGTTGCCAGGGAGTTCATCCTGCTGTGCTGTCGGTGCCTACTCAGAGGAAAGGGTGCACTGGCCCTCTGTATTACCAGGTAGGTTTGTAAACCCTCTTTCACCCTGAGCAGCCTGGTTCTCAGCCATCACTCATTCAGCCCTTCCCACCCACCCCATGGTCCTTCCCTGTGGCTGTTACACAGGCAGAGCTGTGCTGAGGCAGGCCAAAACTCTTTACCCAGCACCAGCAGGAAAAAATAGCCTGCTTATAATTCCGTGCTAGTGTCTTGCTCCAGGCAAATTGTCTTGGTTAGCCCCTTAGCTCTGTGCTTGCTACCCACAGCAAGCCTGGAGGTAGAACAGAGGTGTGAGGGCCAACATTGGCTTCCCAGCACCCTATGTGTGGGGGGTGGCAGGAGGGAGGCAGACAGGAGGGGAAACACAGCTCTTTCCTGAAGGAAGTCACTCCTGCCCAGCCCTTCCCACCCACCCCATGGTCCTTCCCTGTGGCTGTTACACAGGCAGAGCTGTGCTGAGGCAGGCCAAAACTCTTTACCCAGCACCAGCAGGAAAAAATAGCCTGCTTATAATTCCGTGCTAGTGTCTTGCTCCAGGCAAATTGTCTTGGTTAGCCCCTTAGCTCTGTGCTTGCTACCCACAGCAAGCCTGGAGGTAGAACAGAGGTGTGAGGGCCAACATTGGCTTCCCAGCACCCTATGTGTGGGGGGTGGCAGGAGGGAGGCAGACAGGAGGGGAAACACAGCTCTTTCCTGAAGGAAGTGTCACTCCTGCCTTTCTAAATAAGCCTGTCTGCTATGCTTAAGGAAAAAAAAAAAAACCCACAGTGTAGGAAGCCTTTCTGCTCAGGTGCTCTGGGAGCAGACCCCGTGCTATGATGTCTGCCGCCATGTACCGCCACGCTCACCTCCAGGGAGATGCTGGCATGTCTCTGGCTGGCCACATAATCCAGGTTCCCCGCAGCAACCATCAGGCCATGTACCGCTTTCAGCTGGATCAGCTCTTCAGCCACTTCTGCTGACTCCTTGGCTAATACGCTGCAATGAGATAGGCCATCAGCCCCTACCCCGTATGGGGGAAGAAGCACACAACAAATTGGGTCTGGGCCTCTTGGTGTGACCCCAATGGAAAATGATGTGTTCCCACCCAGCAGCACCAAGAGACAGGAGAGTTTCAAAATAAACAAGAAATGTTTGGCTGTGCATGGATTAGCAATCATTTAACGTGTGGGCTTGCTGAGAACCAATTGTTTAATGGAGCTTCCTGGTGTGTATGAAAGTCTAGCGAGTTTCTTGTGTGACCATAAAGAACCCAGGACTCAAACACCACCACCATTACTTCTGTGAGCATGTCCCTGGAAGACACTCCAGTATGTCTCCCTACCCACCAGGGGTTTTCTGTCATCTGCTTTTGCAGGAAAAGTGTTCTGATAGCACTATCTTGTGGACACTGCAGGAAATTCATACTGAACGAACCAATTTTAGCATAAACAGCTGAATTTCCTTAAGGATTCTGCAGTCAATCGTAGGCACTAGATTTTTCCATTGGGTGGCTGACGTTAAATAAGGGTGTTGCACTGCTCATTGTGGCTCCCAGCTATGTGGAGAATACAGTGGCCATGAGCAATACAGCACCCTTCAGCCCTGTGCTGTGGCAGGACACACACACATTGCTTCCAGGCCCAGCCATAAAGGGGACACCGTGACAGCACACAGGGCCAGAGCAGACGGGATTCCATGTCTCCCTGTAAATAAAACTTCAAGCCAGCTCCAGTGTCAGTAGCAGGGAGGGTCTGAGCACTGCTCTCTGCAGGCAGCGGCTCTGCCCCATTCCTGAACGCACCCCATCTCTGAACAGCCTAGTACTGGAGACTTGGCAGAGCTGGGGTACTCAGAGAGCAGTGCCAGAGGTGAATGCTCCCTGCGAGGAACACGTCCCAGTCCTTTCCCACCCAAAGGAAGCCACTTCTCTAAGGTCCCTTTTATGCTCCTGTGGGTTTTGCTCCAGAGTTTCTTACCCAATGACTTTTGCGGCAGCTGCCTGCTGAATATACACCAGCATGGGCTCCCTCAGGCAAAGTGTGGTTGGATCTGCATGAGGAACATTAGGAAGGTGAGAATGATGCTTTGAAACACTTCTAAGATGTTAGAAGGGAGGGGAGGTGGGGTTACACTGCTAGCATGAAAGGAGGATGTAGTTTTTCAGGAAACGCCTTAGGGAAACCCTGTGGCTATGTATCATACATAGTACCCGGCAAGGATCTGTGCTCAGTATGCCCTCAGCTCAGAGCCTGGGCCACTGTGGCCTGCTCTGCTGAGTCAGGGGAAGTAAACACCCGGGGCTGGAACTGTTCATCATCCTTGCTCAGCAGACCTCAGCGGGTCGCTGGGGGCCTGCATGCTAGCATTAGTGCTGCAGGCAAGCAGTGCCTCGACCTGGGCAGCCCTTGCTGCTGTGCCCCTCGCCTCAAGGGGCAGCCCGCCGCACCTCCTCCCATACGAGTCAGGGTGACAGCTGAGCCCTGCAGAAGGAGATGAGGGACCTTAGGAGAAACACCCCCCTGGTCGCCCTGGCAGGCCGTGGCCTGCTGTGTACTCGGAGGCCTTGGTCAGCTCTTTTACCTTCATCGGTCTTGTTGCAGAAGGTAAATGCTTTCTTCCTGGGTGGCGTCAGTAATGCAACCAGGCCCTTCAGCAGGGCCGGCCGGACCTCGTGGGCCATGAGGGCATTCAGCAGCTGGATGGCTGGAGGAGAGGGGAGCCCCTGTCAGCACAGGGACTCGAATTCTGGATGCGTTTGTGGAGAGGGGCAGGGATTTGGGTTCGCTTCTCTTGGCAAGGGCTCCAAGACCAGACCGTTGCAGATTAACGGTTCTAACGGTCACAAAGCTCAACATGCAGTTCGTTCTGTTTTTGACCAGAAATGGGGCAGCTCTGCCAAAGCAGAGCCTCAAAAAATTCCTCGACACTCGTGCTTGTTCCTCTCCACGGAAATCTTTAGTAAAAGGCGAAAGATTTATACGATCTGAAGAGAAACCGGAGTATGATGGCTCCTCCGCTCGCACAAG